TTTTTTTTTTTTTTTTTTTTTTTTTTTTTTTTTTTTTTTTTTTTTTTTTTTTTTTTTTAATACGATCGTGGTATATATCGTACATTCTATTACACCATTTGACTTTTATCTGTTTCTCTCGCTGTTCGACGATTTTCAACAATCGTTTCGATTACCTCTTTCGCTCTCCATTTTTTTTTTCTTTCTCTCGTGTTTATCTTCCCCTTTTAGAATTTTCTAACTACCAACTACGTCGAAACGAAACTACGCCGCGACGAAAGAACCACCGTACGTCCTGAAATTCTTTTCTAGGAAAATATTCTACGATAAACGATCTCCCGTCTTTGTTCTCGACTTTAGTTTGAATATCGGTGCCAAGCGATCAAACCGTCAACGAAGTATCGTTCGTTGGTCGAATGTTCTGTAACATTTGATAGATCTGTACTGTGCGACCGACGGTTCATCATGAAGGGATGAATCGAGATGAAGCAAGAAGCGAGGAGAAGTCGTTGCAGAATATATATATGACTATATATATATATATATATATACATACCTGACTGTGAATGAAATCGAAACAAAAAAAAAAAAAAAGAAAAACATACTACGCTTCTAATTTTAATCTAGATATAATCGAAGATATAGTCATAGCTAATCGTTTCTTATGAAGGTAGGATCGATATTTTTTAAGTAAAGCATATAACTCGATCATCGAGTTGTTCGGCTTCACGTTTATTGTTCCTCCGATCTTTAATTTTTATTTCTTTCTTTGTTTAATTTTTTTTTTTTTGTTTTTTTCTTTTCTTTTCTTTTCTTTTCTTTTTTCTTTTTCTTTTTTTTTTTTCTCGTTCTTTTGTGTTTTTCAAGTTGAAATTTTTTTTTCTTTTTTTTTTAAATCGAAAGTAAAATAAACGTAACGATTTGAACCTTCGTGGGACCTCCGTTCAAACACGCTTCGCCATAGTTGAAAAGAGTGAAAGTATGCCGATTATCCTAAACATTTTCCAAGGTTGCAATCGCATTTCCGAGACAACCACCCCGACTTTTTCCGAGTAAAATTTCGTTTTACACGTAGACCGAAGTCAGACTTATCGGCAAATTCTTGCGACAAATTCTCTTGTTTCATGTTGAAAGAATAAGTCGGCCTTCGGTCGGCCGTTTATATCCATTTATATCGTATTCGAAGTATATATGTTTCAAAATGATTTTTTGTAGTGTTCGAAAAACGAAGTCTCTTATTCATGTACAATGACACGTTCATTACGTAGGTAATCGTTTTGTAGTTAGTAACGTCTTTAACGACGAAACTTAACAACATAAGAGTGCACGACTTGTATGGAAAAGAATTTATCTTCGTCATCTTTTTTAAGATGGAGAGTTTTGTTCGAGAACAATATGTAATGGTTACATATAAACATTTATTATTTTCTCTCGTTCACATTCAAATGAATTTTTTTTTCCTTTGATAACTTCAATTTTACTTGCATTTTTATTTTTTCTTGTGTATACGTGAAGTTTGTTATAAATAATTATTATAATTTGAAGCAAGAATCGATGAATGTTAATCGCTGACAAATATATATTTTTTTTTTTTTTTTTTTTTTGTTAGTTTTCTTCGTTTCGTTGAATTATATTTGTTCACGTTTCCTCATTGTTTTCTTTTCTCTTTTTCTTTTCTTTTTTTTTTTTTTCATCCCTTTCATTTAACCAGCATTAGTAAAACAACACGTAAAATATTTCGTTTCGCCTCGAACGATCGCTTAAAACGCGAAACAATGAACCGTTTTACAGATCTTAATAATTATATCACTTTTGTATCGTTTTCCTGAAACATAGTGCACTCTTGCGTTAGTTCCCGCAACTGTTTTAGAAATTTGCAATTAAACGATCAGTGTTGAAATAATTTTTCTTAATTGTAGCAAACGTATTCTACCCTATTATTGACTTGATCCACCTATGTATATAACTGTCACACATGTTCTTTTATCAAAATTATACCGTTTTTATATAATTTATTATGTAAACATGTATATTTGGACTATAATTGAAAATAAACATTGCAAAAAAAAAAACGTGATCAAAATTCTGATTGACTTGGAATTCTTGACCCTCGATTCATTTTCTGAAACAGTTTTGGGGAAGATTCAGCGAGATCAGTCGTTACCAGATCAGACCAATACCTAATTTCCTACGTTGTTGTACGTACGATATATATACGATATGTTTTCTCATACGAGCGTTCTCCCAATCGAACCGATCGAAATGTATAATCGAACCAAATACGTTATCCAATTATCATTGAAGTTCTACTGTGCAATCATCCCCAATACTTCGAATAATTGAATACATCAATCTCCGTTACTCATTGTAACGAAAGACTAACTAACTAACTGGATCGGCCAGGTAAGTTAAAATAGACGAACGATCGTTATCTTTTAAAAATTCTATGTAATTTGTTCTTTCTTTTTTTTTTCTCTCTCTCTCTCTCTCTTTCTTTTTTCTCCCGCCGTCTTTTTAAAGTTTCACGAAACAATTTTTGAACACGCGATCAGAATTGTTCGAGTATACACGACGTAAAGACGACTCGTTGACTCGTTAACGAATTTGCACTCGATTCGTATTCCATATCTGTATCCAACCTGTGAACGCATGTATAATTTCGATCGAATAATTTTTCTTTTCCCTCGTGAACAACGCTTCTCCTCGCGGTACGAATTTCGAATAAATAATACGAATAATAATATCGAAGCGAAAAACTTGAGCGCATCGTACGCGAGAATTGCGCGAAATTTGAAATATATCAACGACCCGTGTACTCCGCTAAATAGTAAGTTGACACCAGTAGATCAGTGGAAGATTACCAAGCACTGTGTTCGGGATTTGTTCCAGCTAGGAAGCCGACCATAGCGGCTCAGATGCATAGCGAGCGGGAGCGAGAACGCGAGAACAGAGATCGTCCAAGCGGGAGCAGTAGCGGCGGAGGCGGAGGCGGAAGTGGCGGTGGTGGCAATAGCAGCACGGGCACCAACAGCGGGAGCAACGCGGGTAACGCTAACGTTGGATCCGTCGGTAACAGTCACCATCGCGTCGAGTCGAGGAAAGAAGAG